CTGTGTGGCTGTGAGCAGGGTTCCAGGTCTCCTGAAGTCCCTGTGGTTATGGCACCATCAGTCTCTACAAACACAATGACTCTTATTTGCTAGTATGTTTTCAAGATGCAGGAACAGTGCCATCCACACAGGATGCCAGAAAGCAATTTTTAAAAAATGAGTAGAACAATATATATATATAGTTCTACTAATCATATACCTATATCTATATATCTATATATTATATATGAGACAGTATTCACATAGTACCTGGAAGATGCTCAATAAGTATAAAAAAAATAACGAAAGGACCCGCTGACCCTGTATAGTACATTTGTGACTATGTCCCCAAAGAAAATAATCCTCATAGCAGTAACTGATAAATGTGTTTTTAAACCGGGTGACTGAGGCTCGCCTGTAATCCCAGCCGTCTGAGAGGCTGAAGTAGAAGAATCACACATTCTCAAGATTGCCAACCTGGGCAGTTTAGTGGATTGTTGAGTTTCTGTCTCAAAATAAAAAATAAAAAATGGCTGGGGATGTAGCTTAGTGTGAAGGTCCTGGGTTCAATTTCCAGTACCACACAACAGTATTTACATGTGTGTACATATGTGTGTGCACAGGGATGCAGCTGATTATGGGAAAAGCCTAGAACTAACTCCAAGACTACGCTCACAAGGAGGAATAGCTGTGCAGTTATAAACTGCTGAAACAGTGCAGAGCCACTCAGCTGAAACCATCCAGGGTACAGATTTTGTTGAAGTAAAAAATTTCTGAAAATCTGACAAAGTGATAAAACAATATATATGTATTTATTACAGAATGAAAGCTGAGAATAACTTGGAGTGATGAAGTGAGAGATGGTTACACTTTTATTCTCTTATTAAGTTGCTCCAGAGTTTTTGAATTGCTCCCTTTCCTCCCAAGAAAACAAATGCAAACTAGACCCCCTGCCGGTGGAGAGCTCTCCCGGAGTCCTGCGTGCAGTGTTCCCGCAGCCTTGCTGTGGCTGCGTTGTGCCTGCTGGGCTTGCTGCATCCCTGAAGGGAGGTGCCGGCTGGGGGTGGGTTGCACAGGAGCAGGCTGACTTTCTGGTCACTGAAATGTGATCAGTTCATGGCAGGATCACCTTCCTTAATGAGTGAATTGCACGCTGCTGGTGCAGCTCCTTTGTCTAAAGCTCTGCGGGTGGATGCCACGTGGACATATTCTGTAACTGACAGTCTGTCCTTGGCCGATGGCTGCCGTAGGTTCATGTTTTCTTAAAAAGATGGCCAAGAATTCGGCCAACATCTTGACATAAGCCACCTTTACCAAGACCCAGCTACCCTCAAACCTGCCATCATAATAACCAGCTAATTGTGTCTATAATTACCTCAGTTTTATATTATGTCCTGTCACTTGAGAGGGGCTTCCTCACAAAATAAACTGAGAGCATTTCCCTGTATGAAAAGTATTGCAGCACTAGAAGTACAAATGATTGTTGTATAGTTGCCGTTTCCACCCGTTCCCTGTGAAGAGGGCAGGGGAGACCTTCGTCGAGTTTTACAAGTGAGGGTTAAACACAAGAACGCCCCCATCTCCGCACATGGATGGTGACTCTGATGTCAAGTGTACACGGAGGGCCTTAGCGGGATACAACAGTGGCATCTGGTGTAGTGGAGGCCCAGGGGCCATCAAGGAAGACTTTACAAGAGGGGGTAGAATTTGGGGCTTGACTGAAGAGCAAGATTTGGGGGCAAGTCAAGCCCAGAACGTCTGTGGAAGCAGCCATGGTGCAGAATGGGTGTCTGTAATGTGCGATGAGATGAGGCTAAGGGGAAACTGGGGCTCCCCACGCAACAGCCCTCAGAGGAGTGGGTTAGGGCATCTTCTTCGTTAAGCCCTGCCTCTGTCTATCTTCGTCCTTCGGCAAGAGTGGGCAGAGGGATTCTTCTCTCTTGCTTGTGCCACATGGCGTCTCCTTTCCCTGTTCTGTGTCTCTGTGTCCGAACCGTGGAGGCCTGTGGTAGTGTCTTTTTGTGACAACAGTGGAAATAGGGGAAAGGGCAGGAGGAATGGAGTTGCTGAGGCTCTGAGGTGCTGGGGCTGAAGGTTTACTAATCCCAGGCTGATGCAAGCCCCGGAGCCTCAGCCCGAAGGCTCGTTCGGGGGCACTACTCACGATGAGGGTGACCCTATCTAAAGACTCTTGTAATTCTTCCCTGTGGGGGAAGGTACCAGTGGGACACCCCCCTAGTTAGCACGTGAGATACCAGGGAAAACCTACCTTCATTTTCTACAGAAACCATTTAAGGGAGACTCTCTTGCTTTAAGAAACCTCCAGCCCATTGACCTTACCCTCTGAAGGCGTGGCCCACAGCAGTTCCGTGGGTACAGACAAGGCGGAAGATTGGCTCGTGCCTATGTAAGGTGCTGCTCAGCCTGGCTGGGGCTTTCCTCCGCTCCTCCCTCAGCTCCATATTTGGCCATCTGCTGAGGGCTACGCCTGTCACCAAAGTCATCATCCATCTTTATGCTATGGGAAAATGCAGTGGCTTCTGCTGGTGCAATCTGTAGAGGTAATAAAGGTTCTCCTTGTGCTTCAGTCTTAGCATAACTGCTGAGAAAGTTAATCTCATGTGACACAGGCGGGGAAACAGAGACCCCAAGAGCTGGCTCGACGTGTCAGCGGGCGATGCAGGGAAGGCTGCCTGACTGCGTGGAGTGTTTTTCTCCTGTCTAGCTCTCTGGAACTCACTGAGAGTCAAAACTCACATGGAAATTTCTTTGTTCACATGGTGTTTTATTTTTATGTAGAAATTCTTCTCTCTCTTTTTAATTTCTCTGGGAGTAGGTTATAAGGAGCACCCTTTGCTATAGAAATCTATCTCTTTCGTGTTGCTTCAAATCCCACATCTAGTCAATAAGTGGTAACCATCATTTTACAGTGCTGTTAATAATAAGGACTACTTGTATGTTGGCTATGTGTTTACTATGTACAACTATGCATGTTTCCTATGCATGTGTGCATAATGTACTGTGCTAAAACTCTTATACGTTTAAGCACCCTCAACATTCTCAGCAACTCAGTAGTGTGGGTTTTACATATTGATTTGACAGAGAAGGAAACTGAGGCACAGGAAGGTGAAGAAACTCCCCTAAAGTTATCACAAAGGTACTCGGTTGGGGAGCTCAGATTCAGTTCCAGCTCTACTGACCTTCAAGCCTCTGTTCTTAACATTACACCTTATTATCGTCCTTTCACGAGTACTCAGGAAATATGGATTTAGCTTAATCAATCCATCAGAAATATTTCATTTAAACAACCAAGAACCTGATATATGCATATTTTTCCTACTTTCAATCTTGCTACATTAGGTAAAAATAAAATGTAAAAACGTCTTAAGAGGTCATGGCTTCTGACTAAGTCACAAATGCACGTAATTAAGTTGTCCCTGGATCTAAGAAGCTACAGACTAACTTCAGAGCCTCTTTCTCAAAGGCCCAGGGATGGCTGGGTATTCAGGGCCACTGTGCATGAAAGGAACCCTATGTGAGTCCTCAGAAAACGTCCCTCTGAAGATTTGCCTTCCCAGCTCCTGGGCTGTGCCCATTGGCTACTTGGGATTTTGAATAAATTGTACTGAAAATAGATAACACGATGGCTTCCTATACATCCTGCAGTTCATTTTAACGAGGAAACCAGGACTCAGAAAGATTAAGTCACTTAGCTAAGGTCACTCAGCTTTGGCATATTTAAAAGAATGAATTCATGAAAATCATGTGAATTATTCATTTGATTAACTCATTTGCAAAGGCTACTATGTATAATGAAATAGACTGTGGGGTGACAAGGACAAAAATGACTTGGAAAGGCACATGAGGATTAGGGATGTGATTTTAAAGAATTATGCCTCTCACACAGGGCTGCTTTCCGTGTACTTTCCGTGTGATGGGTCAGGAAGAGGGCCAGCGGGGGGATTGTGAACAACCTTTACTCCCAGTGTTGGTCTGAAAGACCTTCCCTTCCCAGTGGGGCTTGACTTTGTGGTAACGTGCTGTGACAGAGGGGACACAGAGTTCTGTCACCAGCATGGAGATGAGAATTTATTTGGCCCTTTCATAAAATGCAGATTCTATGCAGTCCTGCTGAACCCCCCAGTTGCTAAGGGGGGTTCATAGTTATGCAGTCCTGTGACAGGAGGTAAATATGGTTGTTTTCAAGCAAGTTATTTAGTTTAACCAGTAGCCTAACAGAGTTCTTGATACACAGCTGACATTCCAAAATGTTGAAGAATGAAATACATTAGTCCTCACATCTCTGAAAAGTGGTCCCAAAATTCTTCAGGCTTACAGATGTGTAAACTGAGGCTCAGAGTTCAAGCAACATATTGAAAATCATTCTTTGTGTAGGTAACAGAGCCTGACTTTCAGATGCAGAACTCTTACAGGTGTTCATTTAATCTGTCACCAGCTTTTGGGAAACTCTCAAGGAAAAAAGCCTGGCCAACTGCAGGATTTCTAGGGATTTCTTTTCTCTGGCCTCCATCATACATCAGGGACTGGGTGATTAATCGATAACGAAGGCAAACGCATGCAGTGTCTGCCACTCATTCCAGTTCTCTCCTTTGCAGTTCCCAGTGTGGCTGGAATCCATGAGAAACTGAAACCTCAGGGAGAGAGAGAGAGAGAGAGAGAGAGAGAGAGAGAGAGAGAGACCCCTCAGCTGCCTCCCTGCTGTTTGGAAGCTCCTCCTCCACGCCAAGTTGCTGCTGAGGTCTTTTTCATGTGGCAGCTGAGCAGTTGTTTGTTTCATTCTCACTATGCTGATCTGAAAGATAAAATCAGCTTCTTGACCAGCAGGCATTGTGGATGGGCCAGTTGAGGGACCCTCGGTCTTTGCTTACTTTGCTGAGGCGGTGGGGTTGGACGGTGGAGCTGGGTGGCGACCCTCCCATTTATAACTAATGAGGAAGCTCCCCGTCATCAAAAGAGAAAAAAAGGAAGACTCATCCCCACCCTCTCTCTTTCTGTTGTAGTGGGAGACCAGGTCTGCACGTAGATGGTGCTTGTCCCCTGGGTGAACAGAGAGAAGCGGCACCCGGAGGATTGCCCCTGGAGGTCCTGAGAACGCCTTGGGCTGCATCTCCCTCGCTGAATGGCACTTGCAGCAGCCTGCTGACAGCTCTTTTCCTCAGGATCCTGGACTCGTAAGTAGGGCTCCAGCCTGGGAAGATGCTGAGTTCCATCAAGTGTGTGCTGGTGGGCGACAGTGCTGTGGGGAAGACCTCGCTGTTGGTGCGCTTCACGTCGGAGACCTTCCCAGAGGCCTACAAGCCCACAGTATACGAGAACACGGGTGTGGATGTCTTCATGGATGGCATCCAGATCAGCCTGGGCCTCTGGGACACAGCTGGCAACGACGCCTTCAGGAGCATCCGTCCCCTGTCCTACCAGCAGGCAGATGTGGTGCTGATGTGCTACTCTGTGGCCAACCATACCTCCTTCTTGAACTTGAAGAACAAGTGGATCGGTGAAATCCGGAGCAACCTGCCCTGCACCCCAGTGCTGGTGGTTGCCACCCAGACTGACCAGCGGGAGGTGGGACCACACAGGGCCTCCTGCATCAATGCCCTGGATGGCAAGAGGCTGGCCCAGGACGTGCGAGCCAAGGGCTACCTGGAGTGCTCAGCCCTTAGCAACCGGGGGGTTCAGCAGGTATTTGAGTGTGCCGTCCGGACTGCCGTCAACCAGGCCAGGCGGCGAAACCGACGGAGGCTCTTCTCTATTAATCAGTGTAAGATCTTCTAAGGCCCAAGACCCTCCACCAACCAACATGTATGAGCTTGCCCCAGGGACAGACACGTGGAGAGATGGAGAACGGCAAGCTGTCTATGGTGTATTCCACACAGCCTGTGCCTTCGGATACAGTGGCTGATGAGATTGGATGGTATTTTCCCTAACTACACCTACGAGTGAACTCCTGGCCCAGCACGGTCAGAGAACACCTGTGCAAAGCTGTAATGAATATTCCATCTTCAATTAAAAGACTAAAGTGGCCTCTGTAGTTTTGGACAGTGAAGTGAGTTTCCTAAGTACTCTATATTTAAAGACATATTTTATTTAAGTAATAACAAAATGCCTAGATCTTGTATATAATTAGTTTTTGCACTTGAAAAGACTTTTCCTACATACTTGCAAACAAAGTGCTGTCTGAGGGATGTAACCTGGTGGGGTTCTGCATTATGTGTGTAGTGTTATATTTTCCCCTTGAACTAGGAATTTGGTTAAAACCACGTGCCTTCTGGATTTTTCTGGGAAATCAAATTTTAAAATAACCGTAAACTGATCCTTGCAATTCTTACCTGTTATTCAGAATTGTATATAAAATACAGTTCAACAACACATTGTAATACTTTCCAATGATTTTTAAACAGTTGCCACTCTATTTCTCTGTAATTATAAAAAAGAATTTCTGGCTTATTACTTTTCAGTGAGAGAATTTCAATTGTACACTAAGTATTCCACTCCTATTCAGCAATACCAGTTGAAAGAAAACCTTTCTGGGAGGGAACCACATTCTCGTAAGTAACAGCAGCAGACCTTGGAACAGAAGTGAGGAAACGTCGCTGTCACTTTAGGGGCCAGTGCTCCTTGCCTGCTCTTTCCAGGAGGTGGTCCCTATGGCTACTGGTCTTGTGAAAGGGGCAGGCTCAGAGTTCTGCGCGACGTGTCCTCATTCCAACAGGATGACCATGTGACGTTAACCTGAGGGTCTAATCAGAATAATTAGCAAGGTGCCTACATTTATATGTGTGTGCGAGGGGAAAAAGAATTTATAGATTTTACTCTTTGATGAATATAAAGCATCTGAGTGAAAAACAGAAATCACTAATCCCAAGCGCGGGGAACAGGAAAGCTGTGTAGCAACTGCTAGCTAACAAGTTATCAGGGAAATACTGAGTAAGTAGGGACACACACACACACACACACGCACACATGCACGCACACGCATGCACGCACAACTCAAACCTCATTCTATCTAATTGCTTAAAAGCAATAATGTTGCTCATCTGTTAAAGTTGAGACTGTGTAACCTGAGGAAGAAATTGGGAAGGTATATCTCTTATTACACCCAGATATATCATTTACTCCCCCAGTCAAATAAAGCCTAGAACCCTTCGAGCCGCATTTGGGAAACACACCATTCTTCTGGGGTAAGGTGGTGTTTACACACAGGTGGTGAGGCAACTGGCTCAAACGACCAAACTGGTTCTTTGGACTCCTTATTTGATCAATTCTTTACAGTTATATTATGTCAAAAATCAGATTTGTGCTTTCCCCACACTCCTTTTTTCCCCTCTCACCCACACCCAGTAAAAGGCCAGGATCTGGGCCTGGGTCCCTGGTGGGAGGGTTGTTTTGATGCTCTAGGGTGGATGGGTCAGCCTTTAGCCAGTATTTTAGGCCTTCACCCAAAATCTCAGCCTCACAGCCTGTGGGTGTCCTTGTCTCTGGGTCACAGGCCTCTCTTGGCTCAAGAGCATCACCTCTTCTCCTCAGTGCTGGGCATCCCAAGGGCTGGAGAGCTGACTGGGCAGAGGAGGAGAGTATATTCATCAAAGAGTAAAATCTATAAATTCCCTGGGCTCACATCCCTGACATCCCTGCGATCCTCTCCCTGTCCCTCAACTCACAGACGGTCTTTAACAACTAGTGCGGTTTTAAGACCTGTGTGTTTGTGTTTGTGTGTACAGGGGGTGAGTTTAGCATGTTAGACAAATGCATTTCTACTTATTAAAACTGAGGGTCCCTTGTGGCTTTTTCCCTTGTGGAAGGGAGGTGCGGGTGGGTATCAGAAGGTGGGAAGGGCCCAGTTTCCTGGTCCCCGAGGAGTGAGTTCCATGTGTGAGCTGGGGAGGAAGGGAAGGTCAGAGAGCCCACAGTCAAATGGCATTGCCGCCACCTGAGCAAAGACACACAGACGAGACTGTGCCTATGGCCGGGAGTCAAGCTCCCAAGCTCCTTCTGGGAAGCCTCGTGCCTAAGAGCAAGAGTCTGTCTGTGAACCCTGCCTCGTGGAGGCCTGGGAAAAACTGGGCCGCTCAGTGTCTGTCTCCCTGCTGAGTCTGAGTTCTTAATGGCAGCGCCACCTCCTGGTCATCATCACCCCAGGGCCCAGCACAGGGAAGGAACCCTAGCTAAATCAAATTGCATTGAATTGAGCTGGAGGGAGATGGAAATTGGGCTTCTGTGCCACAGGGTGGTTACAGGAAGAGAGTGGAGCCTCTCTGCCTTGAAGGGGTAAGGAGGGAACACAGATCCCCTTGTTGGAATTCATGTACTGTACGTCCTAGCGCAGCATATGTTATTTTTGCCTGCCTAGACCAAAGCGCATGTGTCTTTCTCTTTGATACTTGTGGTACCTTTTTGTTGAGTATATTGTATGTTTGTTCTTAGCTATTGCAAGTAGCGAAATTAAATATGCTCTGTTTAAAGAATGGATTTGAGTGGCTGAGTAATTCATCCGTGGCTCATCCAGTCTGGACTGCTGCAGTGGATTACCGTGTGTGGCGTGGCTCGAACTGCAGAGTTCTGGAGGCTGGGCAGTCTGAGGTCGGGGACAGCGTGGTAGGGTTCTGGGCAGGGCTCTCTTCCAGCAGGGAAGAGAGTTTCGTCTTCTGAGAGCACTAATCCCGTTCACCAGGGCTCCGCCTTCACATCCTAATTCCCTTTCTAAGGCCCCACCTCCTAATATGGTCACTGTGGGGTTAGGCCCCACATGTGCATTTGGGTGGGACACAGCCTCCCATCCTTAGCAATGTGCTTCTGCGGCTCTTTATACCAACCCGTTAAATACAGCGGCAGTACCTAGTGTGATGGAGTTAGGCTGAGTGACGATAAAACAGAAAGCATGCTTATGGTTAAAGTTTACTGAGTGCTTGGGTGTGCTGGGCACACGGTGTGTGAACAGCTCACGTTATCAGAGGCTCCTCTTACACAAAGAAACAGGCTCAGCACGGTAATATGACAAGTCTAAGACATACAGCAGGTGAGCGGCACCGCCAGGAGTCTCAAGCAGGTCTGTGTGACTCTAAAACTGCACAAAACCCACTTCCTCCCAGAGCAGCCTGGTTGAATGCTCACCCACATCCTAGCTCATGTGGCCCTCTGCCCCACTCCCACCGGACCAAGAGCCTGTGTTTCAGAGAACATTTTTACTTTTTGTGGTATTGGGGAGGCAACCTAGGGGCGTGCACATGTTGGGTATTTTTACTCTACCATTAAGCTACACCCTAGCCCTAAAAAACTATTTTTAAGTAAAATATTCCAAGCGTGACCTTAACCCTTCCCTCTTATTTTTCTTTCTGGCAGTGAGAAATAGACCCACCTGGTTCACAAGCATCACCATTTGCAAAGCTCTCTATTCCACCCCGTGGCATCTCCGTGTGATTCCATGGGTTGATAGTGTATGACTTGGCACAGATGAAATTCATCATGATTTGATGCTTTACAAATCTAGGAACATATTCTCTTTTTCTTACCTCACTTTTTCCACTCTTGGGTTTGGGGTATTTCCTTTGTTCTGGGGGGGGCGGTGACAAGGGAGACAAGAGCCTGGTCCTTGCCTCTCAAGGATTGGCACCCAGAAAGGTGGTTTTACCCGCAATGAGATGTGCTAGAAGAAGGATGGCACATCTGTGGGTTACGATATGGCCGTGGACACCGTCTGTGAGGATCTGCACCCTCCTCAGTGCTGAGAAGGCAGACGTTTGGGGTTGAATGAGATCAGCACAGCTACACGGTAAGGACCTACTCATCTTCAGACTGTATCTTTCCTGATAAAGCAAAGAAAGGTAATCACTGGCCAAGATCTCAAGCAGTTTTTCATAAGAAATGATAAACTGTGGAAATTACTTGTGATCTAAGTTCATAAAGAGTACTTGATTAAACCTAAAGTCCATATTAATTTTTTGGTAGTGTTGCGGCTTGGGTCTAGATGTCTCCCCCCACTCCCCAAAGCCTCATGGAGTCATAGGTGGGGCTTCTTCAGAGGTGGTTGGATCTAGAGTGTGCGATGCTGGGATTGATCCATGGTGCAATGCTAGGATCGAGAGCACTAAGATTAAAGGTGTGAGTGCTACCTGCCCTGAGTAGACTGGATAGATATAAAGGATAGAAAGAGCTGTGGTTGTCCCTCACTTGCTTTGCTCCTCTGCCCACCACGAACTGTTTCTCCTCTGTATTGACTGTCTACCAAGGAGTCAGCTGACTATGGACTGAAACCGCTACAAACTGGGAGCTAAATAAACCTTTCCTTCTTTAACTTTGGTTGTTTGGTATTTTGTCTCAGCAATGAGAGAACAATAATTAAGACAGGTAGATTGTGGTATTTATATATGATGGAGTACTACTGTATCATAAAGAATTGAGTCATTTGTAGGAAAATGGATGCACCTGGAGATCATAACATTAAGTGAAATAAATCAGACACAGAAGTTTAAATATTGAATGGTTTCTCTTATATGCGAAACCCAGAGGAAAATAAAGATAGATAATAGGAAGTAGAGAGGTAGATTTATCTCCAGTGGGGAGGGGATCGAGAGATGGAGCGGGGCAAGACGGGAGGGAAAGGGATGGAGAAGGAATGAAGATGTATTATGCACACTTACCAGCTCCACACAAGGAATGGAAACATTATGCACTGCAAACATGGATTAATAAAAACAAGTTTAAAAAAATAAAAAATCAAATATATCCTAACATGGAACTTAATGCTCATTGGTAGACAGAAAGTCATAAAAATGAAGAAGTAAGAGGTTAGATCATTGTGATGCATTTTGGAGTCAGAAAATCTGAGTTGTGAGTGATTCAGCTTCAGTTTTCATCTCTTAATACGTGGGCACTAATTTCTAGAATCTTCTATAAATAAGGTATATTAATCAGTATGAGGTGTCTTATGTCTGTGAACTATCACACAGAGTGTTGCTACTATGTCTTTGGTACATGCCTATGCAGAGCACGAGCTGAATATTCTAGATCAGATTAGAAGTTCCTAGAACTTGTGGACTGTGGATCACATGATGGGAGCCCACCCAGAAGCATGCTCCATTTGTAACATTGTTAACTAAAGCAAGATGCGTAAAATGATACGTAGGATAATAAAAAATAGCCATAATATATTTGGATGCCTACTGGTTCCAGGTGTCTGTGGGGCACTTTACTGACAGCCCTCATTTAAGGCTCAGAATGCTCTTACAAGGCAGATTTTCTTTCTATTGATGAGAAACTGAAGCTCAGACATGTACGTAGAGATATTTCCCTTTTACAGTTACTTTTCAGAATTTCACTTTACTAAACCTGAGCAGCTAAAATGATATGATTAACTGTATTTAGTGTCCACTGTCCTTGCTAATCAAGCAGAGATGGCGAGGCCATCCTGCACACTGGGGCAGGTGGTGAGCAGTGCTTGGAAGCCTTCCTGTGTGACCTTCCTCGTGCCTCAGGGGCTCCTACCCCACGGCCCTGGCTGGTCCCTGCTCGCTGTCCTCAGTCCCCCTCTTCCCTTTTCTGCTCTCCCCTGCCTGCTCTGTGCCTGCAGGTGAGCCCCACACACGCAGACGGATCCCCTGGGGTCTCTCCCTGGCTTCTTCCACCTTGGTGTGGCTGCTTGGGGGCCAGCAGAGGTCAGAAGACTGGAGAAGGGCTAGCTGGGTGTTTTCCCCCTGTGACTTTCCTATTGATGCTGCTGATTAAGCAACAGGTGAGTCCCTCTGTGGCTGCAGCTCCTGCTAGGCAACTTCTCTTCCATGGCTCCCACCTCCTCTGGGCTCTGGGACAGGATTTCCTGTACCTGTTCCTCAGCCTTAAAGGAGGTAGTGGCTTCCTGAGCATGCTCATTTTTGGATGCAGCAACATCCCTGACGTGGGCCTTTTACGCTTTCGTTCAAATCGTTACGTTTGAAGCAGGTAGAATAAATTTGGCTTCCTGTGGGACTCTGAGTGAAAGGTTAAATATTAACTCATCCATGTGTTCTGGCATTAAGTGCTTACTCATATCCATGATGAAAGGGTAGGGTTTGGAAGCATGAGTAACTGTCCTTCCCGGAGCCAAGAAATGTCACTCTCTACATCTATTTGTTGGAGGAAAAGAAGTATTTGGGTTAATTTTATTCTGAGTAGGCAAAAGAATAGACCAAGGATAATAGTGTTCAAAAGCTGTAGGTCTTCTCATGACACATTCATATTTAATAAACTCTGTTATTATTCACCACAGAGTTAAGAATGTTAAGAATGACTATGAATCATGTTAAGAATGACTATGAACCAACGAGAAAAATAGCCCAGTTTTGAGATCGATCTTTCTCAGAAGAGAAAACATACATGACAAATAAACAATAGAAAATACGTTTACTCTTGTATGTACTCAGGAAAATGCAAACAAAACCCACCATTTTCTAGCTACCATTTTGGCAAGAGAATTAAAAATTGTGACAATATCAAGCACAGACAAGGATATAAAACAATAGACAATTCTTACATGCTGTTTGTGCAAGTATAGATTGGTACAATGTTTTGGCATTATTCAGTAGTGTGGAATATCCTGTACCTTTATCCTGGAGATACACTTGCATAGAGTGTCTGGGAGGTGTGGTTGAGGATGACCTTAGTGATGTCGTAGTTAATAGCAAAAACTAGAAACAACCCTAGGTAGTAAACAAAGGGTAGTTAAAGTTTGGTGCAGTCACATAGAATGCTATGCAGTCATGAACATGAATGCACGATAGCTATGCATATCAACATGGTTGCATAAGGCAACATTGGAGATCAAAACAGCAAGTGGGAAAATAACACATGCTTGACTTGTATGAAGCTCAGAAATGGGAGAGAATATAATGACACAGTATTTAGGGTTGAAGCACAAGAGTGACTGACATGGCATTTAAATGGGTGGAAAGTGTGGGATGGAGCAGGGTCTGACAGGCGCTGGTCATGCTTAGCTCTTACATTTGGGACATTAGCAGTTGAGTGTTCACTAGGTTTTTCCTATTATTATTTATTCCTTGGAGTATCCTTACATATCTTATATACTTTTTCATGTGCAGGATACAATATATAAAACCCTTTATAAAAGTTTGGGGTTCTTTTTTTTTTTTCCCCCGGTACTGGGAATCGAACTCATGACCTTGCGCTTGCCAGACAGGCGCTGTGCTGCTGAGCTAAATCCCCAGCCCCAAGTTGGGGGTTCTATAGCCAAATTACCTGGGCTAGAACTGCATGTCAGCCACTTACTGGCTCTGTGCCTTGTGTAAGTTAACTGACCTCTGTGGGTGTCAGTTTCCTCAAGTATAAAATAGGGAGAAAAAAAAAAAAAAACATCAGAGAGAAGTGAGGAACTAATTCAGATAAAGTTGTATTATGTCCGGTACATAGTAAGTGCTTAATAAATGGCAGCTATAGTTTTCTTTTTTTTTTCCAGTATTGGGGATTGAACCCAGGGCT